TGTTTTCCTTTAAAAAGAAGTATAAATCTAAAAGCATCCCTTTAAAACGCAAGAACACAAAAAGGGTGATGGTTTTCAAGTGAATATATGAAAATTTCGAATCTTGAATCAAAAGTATTGTTTTCCAAAATGGGTCTTTATTTCAATATTTAAATCTTTGAGGATCGATAGCATACTACTAGTGTTTGAGATTGAGGTTCCATGGTACAGTATAAGAAAATATGTGGTTACAATGGGAGTCACTAGTAAAAAGAAATCATTTATATCTTTTGAAATATAGATAACTTGAGACTTTGATTTGTTTACTTCATATTAAGAAAACAAGTTCCATATTGACTATAGAATAGTTGTCAAAAAAGAGGAATGTAATCAGAGGCCAAAAAACGAATTGGTAGTTCAACTAGTCTTTTAGCCTCTCGTGAAAAAACGAAGAAGACATGGTAGTGTTGAGTTTCTAGTGTCGGCGACCGGAAAGGACTAGTTAACCATGTGTTGGTCTCGAATCGAAGAGTATGGATTCGTAAAATTTGAAACATCTTTGCTCGTATTGTTAGACCACTCGTAGTAAGGCTTTTAGGGTCATATAAATTGTGGTGATATCAATTAACATATCCATTGTTTAGATCTGTTCGGCATCATGTCGCTGCGTCATCCACCGACGATTAAAAATTAATAGTGCATATTGTAACTATACTATTTTCTTTTAAACTTATCCAAAATAGATATATTATTATTCAACAAAAACATTAGTTAAATAGATCTGTTAAAGAAAAAAAAAACAAAAGAAGGAACAACTAATAATATTATGCAGAGGTGGAATTGAACTTCCATGCTCAAGGGTTATGCAGAGGTGTCAACGCCCGCCATTTGTGGTACTGAATGCAGAAGTGGCAACAACATCTCTTGCACTAGTGGATCCGAGATAATATGATTTATTAAAGAAAAAAATGACTAGTAAACAAATAATTTATTTTGGTAAAAGAGACTCACATAGTTAAAATGAATTTGGTACTGCTCCAATATAATTTGTTTAAGACCTTTTGCTTCTCTGATATTTTTCCACCCAGCTCCGATATAATAACCATTATCGTTTCTAGTTAAGTTTTACCCAATAGAAATTAGAGATAATTACTAGAATGATTTTGACAAGTAGGTTAATTACTAGAATGATTTTGTCAAATCTGCAAACTTGACACAATTTCATAAAAGACCAATTAACCTTAGTAAGATTTTTTATTAACAAAATTGCCACTGNAAAANNNAAAAAAAAAAAAAAAACATATTCAGTCGGGTTTTGTTTTTCACGCATCATCTTCTCCGCTCCATGTTCAAAAACGCGGTCTCCGCGGTCGCTCAGGCGGCGGTTAAGCGCTTGGCGGCCCGGAACCACCGCGATTTTGATGTAATCTGCCATTAACTCCGAACAATCAAGAAAACTTAGTTTTTATTGCTTTTTAGGTTGCAAAAAGGTTTTTATACGATAGATCTAGGGGTGTCAAACGAGTCATT